GCTGCTCTGGAAGCCAAAGCGGGAGGATTACTTAAACGCTTGAATTTTAGATCAGCTTGGGCAACATAGAAGGTACCTATCTCAAAATAAACAAAAAAAATCCCAACATAATTAATATAAAGTCTGTCTAGCACAACCAACGTCTCGTCTTCCTCTTTACTACTTTATTCCTTCCTAGGTGTGAACTAGACTTTGGTTCTCTACACCTCATTTCTTTTTGTTAAGAAGTGAATGCAATATACTGTGGCAAACCCAAAAGCCAAGTTTTTGGAGTTTGTTTTATTGCTGTATGTTTAGTCACTTTATGAATTAATTTTGTAAAGTCTTTATCTTTGTCTTGTGTGGTTCTATAACCTCTACTTGGCTTTGTTCATTCTAGAGTCTTCCAGGAAAAATTTATTTCCTTACCATTTTCCAGCTTTGAGAGGTTGCCTTCATTCCTTAACTCATGAATCTATTCTAGCATGACTGTGCTTTCCTGCTTCTGTCACTGTGTTCACCACAATTAACTCTGATTCCCAGGCTATCATAAAGGGACCTCTGGGGTCATGCTGGGTCCACTCAGATAGTCCAGTATAACTGTCTCATTTTAAGATCTTTAGCCACAGCTGCCAAGTCTCTTTTATGATAAGAAAGTTATATACTCACAGCTGCTGGCCATTAGATGTGAAAAGCCTTGAAGATCATTAGCCACCCCTATACATGTGCACGACTTTCTATAAAAAATCAGTTTTGAAGATCATTTAAAATCAGAGAATTCTGGAATATACTTTTTTTTTTTTAATTTTTAAACATTTTAAAATATTTTAGGCATGTATGTGAGAGAGTTTGTTCTGGCCTCAGAGGTCAGAAGAGGGCACCATATCCCTTGGAGCTGGAGTTAGAGGTGGTTGTGAGCTACCCAATGTAGGTGCTAGAAGCCAAACTCTGGTCCTCCAGAAGAGTAGCTCTTCACCACTGAACCATCTCTCAGGTCCCATGGAATGTAATTATTATTGAACGGCTATTCCAGTCAGCCAAGAGACATAGAATTCAGGCCATTAGAGGAAAGTCCACTAGAACCAAACCAAATGACACAGAGTGCTGTCTCTGATGTAACACCTGGTTAAAAACCATTAGTGTGCTATTGTTAAGATTCTTCAAAAATGGGGGGTGGTGAGGTGGCTCTCCCGGTAAAGCGCTTGCTATGCCACATGCACTCCTTGTGGTATTCAGGCACATGCACACACACATACACAACACACACACACATACACACACACACACTAATAAAGTTTTACAATGTTTTAAAGTCATAAGTCAACAACCAAAATGGCTGAAAGAACAGCAGCTCGGAACAAACAGGAAATTTGAGAAGAGCAATTTTCAGCCTTGAAAGGTACTGTGTGACTCTCTCCCTGAATAGATATGAAGAAAAGTCTGCTTAGTCCAACAGACCAAAGTAAAGATCTCCTACTTGGGGTTTCTATTGCTGCGACGAAACACCATGACCAAAATGCAAGTCGAAAAGGAAAGGGTTTATTCACCTTTACACCTTCACATGACTGTTCCTCAGGGACTCAAACAGGGCAGGAGCCTGCAGGCAGGAGCTGACGCAGAGGCCATGCATGGAGGGGTGTTGCTTACTGGCTTGCCTCCCCTGGCTTGCTCAGTCTGCCTTCTAATAGAGCCCAGAACCATCAGCTCAGGGGTGGCACTACCCATAATGGCCTAGACCCTACCCAACTGTTCTACAATCAAGAACATGCCTTACAACTGGATCTCACAGAGGCATTTCCTTAATCATCTCTCCTCTTGGATAACTCTAGTTTGTGTCAAGTTGACAGAAAACCATCCACTACAAAGGACAACTGTCAAAGTCCAACTTGGTGAGCCAATGAGTTTTATATTTTTACTTGTAAGATTATGGATGACAGAATACCTAAAAGAGAAGAAATTACTCAAAGATAGCTGCATCATTGAAAGCTCATGCCAGCATGAGTGACAGTTCATGAATGCTGGGAACCTGAAGCTCACTGCATAGCATGCAGGCGGCTCAACAGGTTGGAGATTGACTTTACCAGGCAGTACAGCTGGTCTCTGCTTCTTGCAGGGAGCTTGTCTTGTCTACTTCTTCTAGGAAGCTGGGCTAGTCTGAGAGTGCCTCTCAGCATTCCTTTCTGCTTATATACACTTAGAGGGGGAAGGCCCTGGTGCATTTGGTCAATTTCAGGGACTTCTTGAAGCTTCTGAGTTGTTTAATTCCTGCTTCTTTAAAACATCTGGAGTCTTTTCTTTATATTTATTTTTAATTTATGTGTATGGTTATTTTGTTTGTATGTATGTCTGTGCACCACATTAAGTGACTGGTATCTGCAGAAGCCAGAAGAGAGCTTTGGATTTCCTGGAACTAGAAGTACAAACGTTTGTTAGTCAGCCTGTGAATACTGGAAATCACACCAAGGCCCTCCTGAAAAACAAGTGCTCTTAACCATTGAGGCATCTTTCCAGCCCATATCTAGAATCTTAAGAAGCTTCCCCAGAGAATGCCCTGTTTCACCTGTCTTTAGAATGCTCTGGGGCTTAACGCACTTCCCTGTAGGAGGGAGCATTTTAGAGGAAACCGCTAGAAAACTGAGGGCTGCATAGGAACAAAAACATGTAATGCAGAAACACTAAAAAGCACAGATCACTTTACTTTTCAAAGCAGGTGAGAACTGTATAGTCTCCCATACCCTAAGGACTGTGCATAAAGTATTCTATGAAACACCAGAGATCTTTCTCTCCCTACATGAACCAAAGCAAAGGCCATATGAAGGCAGCAAGAGAAAACCTCACAAGAAACTAGTCCTCATAGTACCTTGAGTTTGAACATCTAGCCTCTGGATAAGTAAGATTAATTTTTGCTGTTTAAGTCACCCCATCTGTGGTATTTTGGTAAGCTAATCCTGCTGACAAGAACATTAGATCTTTTTGGTAGAGATTCCTAGTATTATGAGACTCTATGGTAAGAGTTATCTTTTCTCAAGAAAACATTTGTGGTTTTAGGTTTAGGAGAAATGTTCTTTTACTCATCTGACAAATACTGAAGTTCAGTGTTAAGGTGCATATGTGTATATTAAAGGGTGTGTGTCTGTGTGGTTGGGGAGCTACTGGGAGGAATATGAAGGATAGACAGCATATAAACTTGTCTAAAATATCACAACATAGTACATCAATGATTCTAACTTTTTCACATGTGTGTGGTTCATGGGTTATTACACATACACATAGAGGCCAGTGGTTGCCATTAGGTGGCTTCCTTAATTGCTCTCCCCCTTATTTGTTTTATTTTATTTTTTTAGCTAGATTCTCTCACTGAGCGGGGCTCACTGATCTGGCTAGGCTGCCTGGCGAGCGAGCCCTAAGGATCCACTCTAACTCTCCAGCACGAGGATTACAGGTACATGCGGCAGTACCCAGCCACAAACTCAGGTCTTCAGAGTTACGAAACAAGCAGTTCACCAACCGAGCCATCTTCCCAGCCCCTATTTTAATTTTTATTTTTTTTAAGTCTTAATACTCTTGAGAAATGCTACTTCATCACTACTGTGATTCTCAGCTATGAGGTATATACTTAACATAGAGTTTTTCAATCTCGGTATACTGACATTACTGAACAGATGGCTCTCCAGGGGAGGGGCTGCCTTCCAGTCTTTACTAGGTGTTAGCAGCACCTTTTGGTAGTGGTAGTTAGGAGCACATCCTGCCCTTTGTGACCACCAAAGAAGTCTCCAGGGATTGCTAAATGTCATACAGTGAAATAGACCCGCAGGCCGTTCTGAGCCAACCCCTGTAAAGGCAAACACCGAAACAGAACCATGGCAGTGTATGCCAATAACAATTAGGAAGCTGTTACGAAGGGTAGAGCAGGGTGTAAAACGTTAGAATCATGTACATGGGGAAGTCGTGTTGAACTGCAATATGGCAGAAAGTTCTCATGGAAAAAGACACTGGACATCATTACACCACTGCAATCAGACCATTTTTTGTTTTGCCTTTGAGGAAAGTTCTCATTGTGCAACCTGTATTGGCCTCTAACTCTTGACCTTGCCACCCCTGCCTCCTGAATGCTGGCGTTACACGCATGTACCACAACCGAATGGCCATGCATTTTTTAAAAATATATACCTAAAAACATTTTACATAATCAATTTTAAAAATTCGTTCTATGTTTTCTCTTGATACACTTGGGAACTCTAGACTAATATACGGAGAGAATAAAGAGAAAACAAAGTGTAAGAAAAAGCTTCCCTAGATGGAATTTCCTTAACTTCACAGTTAAAAAAACAAACAACAAAACAAACAAACAACAACAACAAAACCCACGGTATTCCCTTAGAAAAGGAAGATGGAGCCAGTCTTCAACTCACAGTAGCACTGCTTCACATCTGGACCGAGTCACAAATATTTACTAAGCGCCTACTCTCTCGAAGACACCGTCTTGGACACCCAGCAGGCACAGTCCCCGGCGCTAGGAATTAAACAGTATGTCTACCTTCCTGATACTTAGGGAGGCAGAAACATAATTTAAAACAGGAATAAAATATGCATTATATCCTGTGGCATTAAGTGCTGTAGGGAGAGAAAAAAAAAAAAAAAAAGAGGCTGAGGCAGAAGAGAGGTCTGATCACCTGAACAAAAGATCCCCGTTCCACCCTGTGGAGGCTGGGGTCCTTAGGACTCCCATCTTGGGAGACACCTATCCGGTTCCTCCTGGTGCTGTAGCACCGATGCAATCTACAGATCCGCATCTCGGCGCTCAGACCCTCTCCAAGGCCGCTCGGAGCCCTGGACCGCTGGCGACCTCACATGCAGAGCCCCCAACACTCGCCCCCATTTTTGAAGAGAGGAAGTCCTCTCACGCGGCGCGGGGGAGCCGGGGCTTCCACGGAGGCCCGACCCGGCGCCGCACGGCCGGCCGCGGCTCTCGCATCAGACCCCAGGCGCGCCCGGAGCAAGGCCCCAGCCTCCTCCCTTACCTGTTGCGGCGTCGGCGCCGCTCCCCCGCCGGTGCCCGCGGCCGCGCCCGCCACAGCCCCGGCGACTGCCGTGGCCGCAGCCGCCACCACCACCGTAGTCAGGGCCGCCATGTTTCCTCGCCGAGACTCCCGCGCATCGGCTCCCGTGGGCGCTCTCCTACGCTCGGCAGACGGTTCCGAACCGCTGGACCACAGGGGCGGAGCGCGAAGCCCAGCCCAGCAGGGCGTGGCTGCGAGGGCCTGGGCCACTCGGGGACCGGCAGCTCGAGGGAGGGGCTCGGCGGGGCGGGGCCTGGCGGGGCGGGGCCTGGCGGGGCGGGGCCTGGCGGGGCGGGGCTGCTGAGGGCGTCCTTGTGAACGCTGGGCAGGATAGAGTTAAAGGCGCGGCTCGGAAAGGGCAGGGCCAACCCAGGTTTGTGGGTTGCGGAGGAGCGTGCGGGACCTGACTTGGAGGCAAGATGGACAAGGGGTGGCTGTGGGGCAGCGCGGGCTCTGCTGAGTTTTATGTCAATATGAGCTTTGTGATCGCCGGTACATGTTCTGTTCGTTCATGCCCAAACCTGCTGAGAAATGCATTGTCTTCCTTTAAATTGTACTCGTGTTATGCCAAAGTATGTGCTTTTCATACGATAGGACTGTTTCCTGTTTCTGTTTCACATGCTGGTGAAACTTAGTGATAAAGCATGCAGCTGAGTTCTAGCAGAACCTATTGTTTTGTATTTTCAAAGAAAAAACCAAACCAAACCAAACCAAAACAAAACAAAAACATTCCCGGGAGAGGCAGGTATCAGATCCAGGAACGCCATAGCAGCTTTCTTAGGACGGTATTCGTGGGATGAGAGATTCCTAAGACTCTTGTGTGGGAAGCTGAGAAAGAAATGGATCTTGCTCTTCTTAGAAGCAACCAGTGGCAATGGAGCTATCTTCTATACGGCCTTCTGCCTCTCAACTTTAAGGGAATGCATTCATCATTCTCGCTCCTGCCGTATGCCAGGAGCCATTCTAGATCCGGGGAGTTCTTGGTTGAATTCCATATGCAAGATTCTTCCTCTCAAGACTTCTAGGACGGAATATAAGCAATTAAACAATCCCTGCATTTAACAGCAAGTATTTTGGCAGCCCCTTTGTGGGTGCTTTGCATATGCATTTACATTTAGTCCTCACAGATAACTAGCTTTAGCTAAGTAATTCAAAGAGTATCATTTCCATTTTATGAATAAAATTAAGGAAAAGACTAGGCTACAACCCCCCCACCCCCGGCCCGGCCCCAGATAATACAGGAGGACATTAAATAGGCCGTCCGTGTGATTCCTCTGCATTTCCAAAGGTGTGGATTTAGCCTCCATCTATATACAGAAGATCATAAGATTTAATGGAATGTCTGGATGTGATGACTGGGTCTAGAACCTTCTTAGTAGGCCACTGCAAACGGGGGGAGGGGGGCGATGAGCTTGCAAACAGACGGCACTGACTGGTTTGGAGATGCCATACAAGGACGTTTTTCAGTATTGAAACCTGCTGCCTGGCAGTCTAATGACAGAGACAGAGAGTCGACAGCGGGCTTTATCGAAAAGGAGGCTGTGGGCCATCTTGACAACAGCAGAGCCAGTGTGCGGTGAGAACAAAGCCTGTATTTGGGGTGCAGGTGACCCCAGTGTTGGTGGTAGCTGGAAGAAAATGTGTAGCCAAGGAGAGATTTTTGCTAGGGGTTTTGGCAAGGGCTGGTAGAGAGCATTTGTATACTGATGCAAATGACCCAGTAAAGAGCGGAAGTTTGATGCTGCAGCAAAGAATTGCAACCAAGACCATGGGAAAGCAAGAGGGATGGAGCCCAGGACACAGGCAAGGCTTGTTCATAGGCACCATACTTAGCTAGTTTTCTAGTATAACTCAGGACCACGTGCCTAGAGAATAGTGCTGCCCTCAGTGGAAAGGGTTCTCCTTTAACAGTCAACCCCCCACTCAGACACGCCCACAGACCAATCTTGTCTAGACCGTTCCTCACTCCGATGACCCTAGGTCCTGTCAAGTTGACAGTCAAAGCTAACAAAGACACACCTTTAGTATCGATTGGAATTTTGTGTCTAAACCATTTAATAATTGCATCTCAGATGATGAGCTTGAGTCTATCACTTTGAAATGAGTTTCATACGGCAATTTTAGAGTTCTTTATTTCACAGTTAGATAGGAAAATAAACTCAAATGTCATCTACATAACTTTCTAGAACATACAGAAAATGCCAGCTCCTAGATAAAGCAAAACAAAACCCTTTTGCAATAAAATATTCTTGTCAGAGAATTTTAAATTGAATCCATACCCTTTATATAAATGCACAAGAGCTTGTTCACCAAGAAAGCAATATCCATGTTCGGAGGTACAAGGTAGTAACCACTACAGTTGACATGCTGAGGCAGGAGGACTGGGAAGTCTAAGACAACTTAGGCTAATATACCAAGAGTTATTTGAAGAAGAAGAAGAAGAAGAAGAGGAGGAGGAGGAGGAGGAGGAGGAGGAGGAGGAGCAGACAGGCACGGTGGTATAGGCCTGTAATCCCAGCACTCAGGGAAGTAGATGCAGATGGATCTCTGTGAGTTCAAGGCCAGTCTGGTCTACAAAGTGAGTCCAGAACAGCCAAGACTACACAGAGAAACCCTGTCTTGAAAAACCAAAAAGAAAAAAGAAATAAAACAAAAACAAACAAACAAACAAACAAACAAAAAACGGGTGAGACTAATAATGTTGGAAAATTTTCAACTGTAATGTGTTAATATGAGCAACTGTACTGGCTACCTTCTGAGTAGCTATTGCTTATCTCCCGCTCCTCTTCCTCATCCTCCTCTTCCTCTTTCTGAAAGTCCTCCTGATTTCTTTCTCTGTCCCCATTACATGCCTTTCCTTGTCTCATGCTTTTCCATCTCATTCTTTTCCATTGTAGAGTCTATAAGAGTCACATAGGTTTATATATATAGTGTGAGAACACATGCCATTTGTCTTTCTGTATTTGGCATGTTTCACTCAACATATTTTCTCCAGTTCCACCCATGTTGGTGCAAATAACAAAATTACATTATTTTATATGATGAGGTATTATTCCATTACATGAATCTACCATGCTTTGTTTCTCCACCTACCCACTGAAGGGAATCTGGATTGGTTCTGGCTCTCGTGAATACTGCTTCAGATGCAAGTATCTTTTGGCATAAAGATTTCATCTTCTGTAGGCATAAATCTAGTAACATCCATGATGTTAATGGTTGGTAGAGTGAGCTCCTCACTCCACTTCAGTCTTCCTAAGTGTGTCATCCATTGTAGGTGGAGTTTGCAAATTTGTGGGTTCTTCCTTCTTCCACCCGTTCAACCCCTAACAACTAGATATGAGAGGGGGAAAAAAAAGGATAGAAAAGAAAGGAAACAGATCCCTGAATAAGGGCAGAGGTTAGAAAGGGGACGAATTATTGGTAGAGTACTACCTGCTGATTAGAGGCATCAAGCTTCCTGGAGCAAGTTTTTCTTCCCCATTAAGATGCCTCTGACATAAACTGATTGGCCTGCTCTTTGATCACCTCCCCCTGAGGGGGGAGCAGCCTTACCAGGCCACAGAAGAAGACAATGCAGCCACTCCTGATGTGATCTGATAGACTAAGATCAGAAGGAAGGAGAGGAGGACCTCCCCTATCAGTGGACATGGGGAGGAGCATGCATGCAGAAAGGGGAGGTAGGGTGGGATCTGGGATTGGGAGGGGAGGAGGGAGGGGCTTATGAGGGGATACAAAATGAATAAAGTGTAATTAATAATAATAATAATAAAAGAGAAAAAAGATATCTAATTTCCTCTTGTTGTTTCTTCTTTGTGAATGACTACTTAACAAACCATGCCAACAACAACAATCCCCCAACACCTCTCAGGGCCCTAGTATTTATATACTCCTTACCCCCAAAATTCCAAACGCCACACAGTCACAGAAAGTATTTACAGCTGTGAAAATTATGCCTCTTCCAGCGCATGAGGTAAATCATAGCCAGCTGCTACAAAGCAGCCCCATATCCCCACAGCTGGGATTTAAACAAAAACATATTCTTATAATATTTCTGTGGTTTAAAAGAAAACAAAATTCTCACTGCAATCCATTACCACAGAGGTAGAATGTTTAGGATCTTTGCATCCAAGGATCCTTTGCAGCTAGGGTTCTCAAAGTTTGCCAATCAGATAAATGCATGTGTGCAAAATGTAATGCCAAAACAAGGCAATGCATAAGGCAAGAGGTGGCACCCAAAACATCCATTCTAGGGTATCTAGTACCATGCACAGTGAGACTCCGGAACTGACAGATGTGATATTTGCTTCCTGACTGAGAGGTAACAGATAACAAGATGTGTCCCTTCTGAGAATTGTTCCACTGAGAATTGTGGTGGCCGGTTCTCATTTTTGGCCTTTTATTGAAAATCGTTTTGTTTTGTTTTGTTTTTTTCTCCCTCACATAATACCCTTATTATGGTTTTCCTTCTTCTTCCCTCATTTCCTTCGCAACTACCCTCCCACCTGGATCCACTCCCTTTCTGTCTCTCATTAGAAAACAAACAGGCTTCTTACGGATAATAAAATATAATAAGACAAAACAAAAACTAACACATTGGAATTGGACAAAACAAACAAACAGAAGGAAAATGACTCAAGAAAAGGCAGAAGAGACAGATACCTGTTCATTCACACACTCAGGAATCCCATTTAAAAAAAAAACATTAAACAGGAAGCCATATTATATATGCAGACCTGGTACACACCGTTGCAGGCCCTGTGCATGCTGCCTCAGTCTCTGTGAGTTCATATGTGCTTTGATTAGAATGATTTAGAGAGCCTTGTTTTCTTGGTGTCCTCCATCTCCTATACTCTTTCTGCCCCCTCTTCCACAGGGTTTCCTGAGCTCTGAGGAGAGAGTTTTGATGGAGACATTACCTTTAGGGATGTGTGTTCCAAGCATAATGTCTGGCTGTGGGTCTTTCTGTTTGTTCCCATCTGCTGCAAGAAGAAGCTTCTGTTATGATGGCTGAGCAAGACGCTAACTCACAAGTACAGCAGAATGTCATTAGGAGTCATTTATTGCTGTGTTTGTTTGTTAAAATAGTACTATCTGGTTCTGTCCTAGGTCCCTGAGCTATCCAGTCT